TCTAAGCCACTTGCTGCAAAGCCTGTGCCTTATAGTATCCATCCCCTTGCTATTTTTTATCTCCCTGTCTTAGTATCTCTCTTTTTTTTTTCATTCAAATTATATCTGCCCTCTCCAACTCTGGCTCCAACTCCTTCAAGACTTCCTCCTGCAGTCCAGCTGCTTTGGATTGCATGCCCTTTATCTTCTAATTGTTCTCCACTCCAATCAACACAGAGCCCTGGGTTTGTTGAAGTCTCACAGGTGTGATCCAGATGCCAGTGGTCTGAACCACATCTGGAGTGAAGAGCTCCCTGCTCATAGGCTCTTCCCACCAAGCATCCCACACATAGGGAACTCCCTGAATTGGAGGCCCATGAGACCTGAACTGTAACCTTAGAGGGAACAACTCTAAGACATTTATCTGAAGATTCTGGCTAACTGCTTGGAGCTACTGTACCTAACGGAGACCCAAGACTGGAAGCAGAACAGAGAAGACAGGTGAGCCCAGAGAGTTTCTTCTGAGAGCAGCAAGAATGAAGTTTTTAAAGATCCTGGAGATTCTGGTGACAGAATTACCACAGCCCCTCTAAGCAAAAAGCTCCTGCAAGTCACTTAAAGATTCTCCCTCACCCAGCTAGGGATTACTTCACATTGGTGTTACCTGTCACACAAAAAAAAAAACAACCATGAAGGCTTTCAAACAAATTGTGGCAGTAGAAACCTTCCAGCGGACTCTGCGCTCTGAGGAGTATCTGAGATCTCATGAATCAATATGACATTCATTTCTGGGCCGGGGGAAGACACTTTGATCAAATTATGGTTCATATATTGGTTTACCTCTTGACATTGAACAAGACTCTCCTGCTGTCTAGACACGTGTTTCCCATCTGAAAACAATGAGCTGGGTGATGACTTGGAAGATCCGCTCCAGCTGACCCTGAGTCATATGTCTAACACTTCCTACTTGCTGGACCTCAGGCACACTAAACCTCAATGTCATCCATGTCATCAGCTATAGAATGAGAGAGTCATATCCCTTGCCTTGCTCACCTTGCACAACTGCCCAGAGGGAGGGATGAGCAAAGTAAAGTGCCTAGAGCTGTTCCTATCTGAGGCTTTATTGCAGGATGAAAGTTGTGTGACAGCAAGGCTATCTTATGCTACGAACCCAATGATGGGCATAAGGATGTGGTGGCTAAAGGCTGTGGGACCAGACATGACTTAGCTCACCCATTTACCATTACTATTATTATTGTCAGTCGTGGGGCTTGAACTCAGGCCCTGGGTACTGTCTCTGAGCTCTTTTACTCAAGGCTAGTGCTCTCCCACTTTGAGCCACAGCTCCACTTCTAGTTTTCTGGTGGTTAATTGGAGATGAGAATTTCACAGACTTTCTTGCCTGGGCTAGCTTCTAACCTTGATCCTTAGATCTCAGCCTCCTGAGTAGCTAGGATGACAGAAATGCTCTCTAGCCACACTGAGGACAACCACTGGCCTCCAATGATGACACGCAAGGGACATAGGATGGGCATTCCTAATCTGGATTCCAACCTGTGCCACCAGTACTAACTGAACCCTATGAGGAACCATGTCATATCCATTCTTGTTTGCTTTCCTCTAATTATTAATTGAGCAATCTCTTTTGCAAAATGCCCAGCCAGGAATCTGGGGACCAGTTCTCCTATATGTCCTTTTCCTTTATGTCCAGCTTGAGGCTGGGAGCTCAGCCACCTTCCTGATTGATTCATTTGATTGGCTTAATCCCAGAGAAAACGTCTTGTAAATATTGGAGCTCACCAAACACATAGACCCTCTATATCAATGTAGGAATAATTTGAAAGACATTTCAATCTGCCTTGGAAGTATATACTGTAAAATGAACAAAACAAACAAGTTACCCAGAATACTAGGCTAAAAATCTGCCTGTGTGTCTGTATCCATCCATCTACCTATCTGTGCCAAATAAAAAGCGTGATAAACATCTAATAAACATAAAAATATTGAATATGAACATTGATTTTAATTAAATATTTTTAATATAAAAAGTTAATAATAACCTAATGAACTATACAACTTGTAGGTAGGGACAGGAGGGAAAAATTAGGAGAGAGCTACATTGCCCCAAAAGAAATGTACTCATTATCTGACTTATGAAATGGTAACCCGTTTGTACATCACCATAATAATATCAATAAAAAGAAACAATTAAGCCAGGCACCAGTGGCTCACACCTGTAATCCTAGCTACTCAAGAGGCTGAGATCTGAGGATCGTGGTTCAAAGCCAGCCTGGGCAGGAAAGTCTGTGAAACTCTTATCTCCAATAAAAATCCACCAGAAAACTGGAAGTGATGCTCTAGCTCAAATGGTAGAGTGCAGGCTGGGAAGTTGGCTCAGTGGTAGAGCGCTTGCCTTGCATGCATGAGGCCCTGGGTTCGATTCCTCAGCACCATATAAGCAAAAAGAAAAAAGCCAGAAGTGGCGCTGTGGCTCAAGTGGTAGAGCGCTAGCCTTAAGCTGAAGAGCTGAGGGACAGTGCTCAGGCCCAGAGTTCAAGCCCCACGACTGACAAAAAACAACAGCAACAACAAAAACTAATTAATAAAAAACAAAAAGACAAAATAAAACAAGTATATAAGCGACATCAGTGTTTTTACAATTCAAATCTTTATAGAAAATTTTTTTATGAAGAATGACATAGATTTGTTCTGTACCTTATAGTTTCACCAGCGAACACGTCTGATGAGAGACAGGATGACTTCATGGTTACCAGTGAGAGAAAAGCAAACTGAGTTCAAAGAAATAATGTAATCATAAGAGAGACCTTAGAACTCACCAGTGTGTGCTCAGAGTTGACTGACCCCATCTCTTGGATATATCTGTCCCTAAACATCCTACCAGCTCATGGCCAGGGGCATCTTGAGGTTGGAGGCTAGGTCTTCCTCACCTTGCCCAATTCCCAGCAGACTATCTGTCCACTATACGGTTCTCTACATGGTCCTCATGCTGGAAATGTGAATAAGGGACCAACTTATTGCTAAGGCTCAGAGAAGAAAAGAGACCCTCCCTGGTCGCACAGCCAGCTGGGGGTGGGGGGGGGCACAGGATGTCCTGGGATGTGATTAAAAATTCTATTCTGCATCCACTGGGCTCAGAGAGGCACATACTTGACATTGATCCCCCCAAAAGCCACTGGTGAAGGTGTTCATGGCTTAGTGGCTAGTCAAGATCATGGGAAGTTCAGTAGGTCATGGTATGACCATGTCAATCCATAGTGCTTATGACTATGATTTCTGCTGTAATTTGAAACTCAGCACCTCTGTGTTAAGACTATTCTAAATCAATGCTGAAATTCAGGCAATGAAACCCAACCTGTCTAACTGATCACCTGCATAGTAATTATTTCCAAAAGCCTTAGAACAATAATAATTATTTGTACTGGTGAAAAATGTTTGCTTCAAAAAGCACTTGCATAGATGCTGAGTTGCTTAGACCTGGAACAAGTATTTACAAAACAAAATGCTGTTCTCTCAAAATAAGTCAGTGAGTGTACATTTCAAATAGGTGGCTTTCTTTATGTGAATTATACTTCAATAAAGCTTATTTTAAAAATGAGTCAGTGAACATCACAAGTCACTTACATTTGCTTACCTGTTCATTTCTATATTTTCCATCACTGAAAGAAAACAGGCAATTGTAGTAGCAGGGGGAAATGAGTGATCACAGATCTTCTGTCCAGATTTGTTTGGGTTATTTGTTCTGTTCTGTTTTGCTGATATTGGGACTTGACTCTGGACCTTATCCTCTTGCTTGGCTTTTTTGCTCAAGGATGATAACTCTACCAGGAGCCAACTCCTCCACTTCTGGCTTTTTACTGGTTAATTGAAGTCTCATGGACTTTTCTTGCTGGGCTGGCTTTGAACTTCAATCCTCAGATCTCAGCCTCATCAGAAGCTCGGATGACAGGCATGAGCCACCAGCACCAGCTCTCTCTAGGTTCTTTAGCCTTTGAGTGGTCTCCTCTGACAGCCAGATGTTGGGATACGGTTGAGGAGAGGGGCTAAGTCCTGACTTCATATATTTTAGGTGTGATGTTTATCCCATTTTCTCCTTAATACCTGCTGAGTCTTGCTCACCAAGCTGTGATCTATTCCTCTTGATGAGTATATTCATTTGATGTCAGGTGAGGAATAATTAGTGATTTCTAAAGTTTTACAGTTATATACTGTAGGACATTAAATTTTAGGCATGAGCATCTTCAGTTTTATTGGATGTTGCTAAACTGTTCTCCAAAGTCATACCACTTTGTACCTCCATTAGTGGATTTCAGGGCACAGTGGAACCACGTCCTCACCCACTCCCCCAAATTGACAAACATTTACTCCCTGCCAATCAGGTGTGAACACCCTTTCATATTTGTGGTCATTTGGTCATTTGTGAATGACATTGATATCTTTCACCTATTTCCTTGGATATCTGTCAGCCCATTCCACCTGCTTCACCTGGAATCTCACGTCTCTGTTTCTATAGCCTTCCTAAAGGCTACCTCCTCCATGAAACGTAACCTCTAAACAACCACAAATAACACTTCACCTTTCTTGTGGGATTGTCATTTCCTGTCTTTATAATCTTGTAGCAACTTCTCATTTGTCACACCACTTTGTAGCTTCCCAAAGCACCTGCTCCTTCATTTATGCTTTATAAATAGTAACCCTTTACCTAAGCAGTGGTGCTCGTTTTGAATAGACACAAAACATGGCATATATGAGGAATTGCTCACTCAGTAGCCCACACTGGCCCAAAGGTAGAAGTGGACTTGGATTCTCCAGTTCCAAATCCAGAACACCACAGAAGACCCTCTGATTTATAGTCATGTGTTTACTAATACTTATCCTACCGCTGACTCCCCCACAAGACAGTGGACCCCTTCTCTCGTAGTCACCTGTATACCCAAACCCTCAGTTCTAGCCTCACACAGAGATACCTGACCACAGAATTCTTGACAAGCTGCAGTACTCACCTGCACATCCACACGAAGCCATCCTGAGAAGCTCAGCGAGACAGCCCCTTCTCTCCAACTTGGCTGCTCTCAAAGGTGAACCCAGCTATGTTATGGCCTTATAGGTCATTAATTACACACATGTAGTTTGGCCCAGGCTGGACAGGTGTTCTCTCTGCAAACTGTAAGGCCCTTTGGGTCTTGCAAACGTGTTCTTCCAAGTGTACACTCTGACTGATGGGGTTTCTCCCAGCTTTCTTTCCAGAGTAGGCAGAAGGGAGGTGGGTATTCAGAAGTGTGTTTGGACTGGGGTTCTAGGACCTAGAACATAAGGAACAGTTAGGCAGAGCCAGGAGAGGAGGAGCATGAGGAAGGGAGGGAGAAGACTCTTGCATCTGGGGTTGGGGAAGCAGGGTATAAGACAGACAGGGGCTGCAGAGTGGATTGACCACACCCCAAGGAGGCAGATGACCAAGGGCCTATACCCTGGGCCCTTTCTCCTGTGGAAGGAAGGTGCTGCTCACTCACCAAACCCATGAATGCACACAGTCCCCTGGCCTCCTGGTGGTGTCTGCAGAGCCTAGAAGCAGGTGAGAGGGGACTGAGGAGTGCTGGCCAAGGGTTCTCTCAGACCTTTCCCCCAAGAGTCTGGGGCTGCCTTTGCTCAGAGGGCAGGAGGGGCCTTGTTTGATTGGAACCCTGCATGGCCATACAATCTGCTGTTTCACGATTGTTCTTTCAATGCATGCTGGGTGGGTACATATATGTTGTGTGTTTGTGCATGTGATGTGTGCAATGGTAGCTTTGTTGTGTTTCTGTATTCTGGGTCTGTGTGCAGTTAGTGGTGCACTTTCCTTCTTTCCTTTTTTCTCTTTCTCCCCCCCCCCTCCACCGTGCTTGAGCACTGTTTGTTTCTTAGTTTTGTTTTTGTTTTTCCATTCAAGTGGAGCCATACTATCACTTCTGGATTTTTGGTGGTTAACTGGAGATTAGAGTCTCACAGACTTTCCTGCCCTGGGCTAGCTTCTAATTGCGGTCCTCAGATCTCAGCCTCTGGAGTAGTGGCTCAGGCGTGAGCCACCGGCGGCAGCCACGGGCTTCGGGGTGTACTTCGTTGGAAGCGTAACTTTATTGCAGCCCTCTGTCTACCTACGCGGAGGGCACCCCCGTCTCCTGGTGTGCCTCCGTGCCTCCCTCCGTGTGGCTGGCGATGGTTCAGGGACCCAGAATGTAAGAGAGACCAGGCAGAAGGGCGTGCAAAACCCAGGAGAGGAAGAGCCGTGCAGGAGGGAGACGACTTGGATCTGGGGTTAAGAGGGGACTCCACTCCGCCGAGTCGCGCGCACGGCGCGGTGCGCGGGGACTCGTGGAGTCCGGCTGTTTTTCTCGCGCACGATCGAAGCTGTGCGGTCCGGGCGCTGGCCGTGCGGTTCGGTTTCGCGGTGCCTAGGCTGCGCGGGTGGCGCCCGGGCGTGCAGCCGCGAGCCCGCGCCGGGCGCACAGGCGAAGTTTCCGCTCTGTCCCTAAACATCCTACCAGCTCATGGCCAGGGGCATCTTGAGGTTGGAGGCTAGGTCTTCCTCACCTTTACAGCATGCCCAATTCCCAGCAGACTATCTGTCCACTATACGGTTCTCTACATGGTCCTCATGCTGGAAATGTGAATAAGGGACCAACTTATTGCTAAGGCTCAGAGAAGAAAAGAGACCCTCCCTGGTCGCACAGCCAGCTGGGGGTGGGGGGGG